TTGAACCACCAGCCTTCTGGTTAGCAGTCAAGTGTCTTAGGCACTATGCTACCAGAGCTCCTAGGAGAGGGACTACCTGGGCTCAAATCTCAGTTTCTACTTATGTGACCTAGGGCAAGTGACTTAATTTCCCTGAGCTTCAGTTTCCTCAGCTGTATAATGATGCCAATAAAACTCTCTACCTTACAGGGCTGTTTATGGATTCAGTGAATGAATGAATGTAATACCAGTCATCTGTATGTGCCATGTGTCCCCTCCCTCACTGACCACCTCATTCTCCTTGGTGCCGACTTTGTGCCACCCAATACCTTTACAGAATTATATTGGCCCCTTCAGAGGCAGTCTTCAGGGGTCCCTGAGTGGGGCAAATGGTTAAGCAATTGATTAGTAGCCAAAATTTAGCAGGTTGGACCCACCCAGAGATGCCTCAGAAGACAGGTGTGGCAATCTGCTTCCAAAAGGTCACAAGCTTGAAAACCCTGTGGATCAGTTGTACTCTGCACACATGGGACTGCCATTAGTCAAAATCAAGTCCACAGCAATTAACCATAAGTACAACAGAGGTAATCTTCAAAGAGCAGACACCCTAACCAGAGAACATGTATCCAAGTGCCCTTTGCAGTTACATGTCACAAAAAGCCATTAAGTGCTATTCTCATTCATATTGTTTGATCTCAAGAAAGATAGACTCTGAGATCTGATCATTTAGGGGTAAGGAAAGGTTAGATTCCTAGGCTTACAAAGGGTGGCTGGTGCTTTCCCCAAGAGTCCCTTGCTGAGTGAGAAGCTGGCAAACTAAGATCCCTGCCCCAGCCTCTCAATTCCCAACCAGGAGTGAGGAGAAGCAAGAATCTAAAACAACTCCCAGATTTCTGCATTGGGTGACTGAGGAACCAACAGGATAAGGGGCAAATCCAGAGAAGAAAATTGTGCTGTGAAGTGCTCAAGGAATGGACAGGTCCAGCAGGCAGCTGCATGTGCAAAACAAAACCAAAGCAAAGCAAATTTCCCATCTCTGACTACCACTGTTGAGCTGTTACTCAAGTGAATTCGTCCAGAGTGAATCTGTATTTGCTTCTGCCATCATGACCTGAAACCCACTTAAATTTCCTGTTAGATGTTTCTTGGACTACATTGATAGTATAAAATCAGACCTCAACCCTGCACGAGTACCAATGTATGGTTCAAATTCTTAGGGGAAGATTGTGTTCTTCTTTTCACCTAGGGCCAATGTTGAAGCATTCAAGTTTCCTTGTTGGCCCTTTCTGCTAGATGAGTTAGTTTCTTGTTTCCCCTTCCACTAAGCGTATAGTCCTTTGATGTCCCATACTCCCCAACAGCACCCTCCCTCGTAGGTGTGTTAATTGTATGTGTGTTTGTCCCTTGCTCTCTTGCTATATAATGAGAAAGCCATTCAGTACAGTGGGAAATGCAAGTTTTCAAGAAAAAGTTTTTATTTAAAATCCAAGCTACTCCATTAATCCCTTTGAACTCAAATTTCTCGTTTATAAATTGGGGACAGGAGGCGGGGCAAGATGGCGGACTAGGCAGAAGGATTGCACAGACCCTCTTCAACAAAGAAAAGGGAAACCAATTAACACAGACACA